TTTCTTTTTTTTTTCCAAATAGACATACAAATATGATACTTCTAAATTAATCTCCAGTTATTAATTAGTTGAATCAGCTCTTAAAAGTGTCATTTTAATCAATTTAGCCAAGTAAATGGGTATATATATACTTTTTTTAAAATATGATGATGGGTTCCTCCCAATGTGTCAAGGTTTAAATCAACATGAGATCTACCTGGATTGTCAAACTCCTCTCAGTTACGACACAATTTTGGGAATAATAGGTATGAGGATAAATTCAAAATTACTTCTAATGATAATTGGTAATGTCATCATTAATTAGAGGTAATTATTTGTTATATTTCCAGGAAAAAAAATTATCTGGCCCAAAATCAGTGCAAAGAGGGGTGGGGTGAGGCCCAGAAAAGAGTCCATTGCCCAGCCCAAGAACCAGAAGGATGATCTGAAGTTCGGAACTCGGAATATCGGATTGATTCGATTGACTGAAGGTCGTTTCATTTGCAGCCTGATAATCTTCAATTTGCTGTTGTGGGCAAAACTAAAATTTTGGTAGGGCATATTTGATTTAACTGCTAGAAACCTTAAATTTTGCGCGAAGTCAAAGAAAGGCCAAATGTGTAAATTGATTTTCAAAATTGTCAATCACCACCTAAAAAAAAATGTTAATGTAATTTGTCACATCAAATTTGCATTTTTAAGAAATTAACTTAAATTTAACAATTGTCATTAAACTCCATTAAACTACTACTCTTAAAATTTAACAAAAAATTAATGATAATTATTAAATTTGAGTTGATTTTGTGAAAGTAAAAATTTGGGTGGCAAATTACTTTAATATTCTTTTTGGTGGTAATTTGCCTCAAACAATAATTTTGGGGAGAAATTTGCACCTTTTGCCGTCAAAGAAAAACTACTTAGTGTATATGTACTCCAATGTTAAAGTCAACAATATTCCAATAATAACCATGGAAAGAGGAGAATAAGATAAATGAAGAGAAAATGGTGTAGAAGAGAGAGAGAGAGAAATCATGTTTGGGTTGGGGAAGAATACCTGTTTTTATAGTCCTTAGAAGTTGTCTCTTTTGGTAGAAACTTGCCAAATACATGACTCTGATTTGCTATGTTCGTTAGAAACCTCCAACAAAAGTATAATCACAACTATAACATTTGATAAAGAGGTGACACATGTCCATGAAACAAAGAATGTTCCTTAATAGTTTTTAATGTTGTTGGGCATATCTGCAATCTATATGTGGACCCCACTATACCTGATTATTTGTCTTGTCTTCTAGGTCAAAGGTCTTACCTGTACCTAGGCGAGCTAGGAAACTCTTTAGGTATGCTTTCCAACCATACCTAAGTCAAGATCATGTAACTTCATAGGTCATATGTAAAGCTTCCCAATTAAGTTCTAGGAGTCCTCAAAGACTTAGCTTAATCAGGTTTCTTTAAGAAAACTCCTTTGATCTAACCTAGAGTGCCCTTAGAGATAGAAAAGCTAATCCCTGAGACTACACAGACAATGAGGGCCTACCACATCGAGGAAGTATTTTTTACCTTATATCTTTGGGTATGGGAATGGGAGTGGAATTCAGAATCTGAAAATGAATGCAATAGATTATTAAATCCATTTGATCTTAATGAGCTTGAAAAAAAAATTCAATAAAATTACCCCTTACCAGCTCTACAAGTTACTGGCTTTGCCAATTTATGTGCCCGCATCAGTTAGGTTGTTTCAATGGGCATTCAGCTAGAGGAGCTATTGTCACTCGTTTGATGTTTATAATGTGCTATTTGATAAGCTTAGAGGTCCCGGGGAGTCAGCTCATATAGATTTAGTTCATTGATTCAAATGAAAGAAGAAAGGGTCCTTGTCTATAGGGATTAGAGAGTCCCTTTTAATCTTGATCATGATACATTTAGGAAGAGCAGGTTTAATGCTGTTTAACATTTTTTTTTATTTAAAATTTGTGCTAAACTATTAGTTTTTTAAAAAAATATTTAAGAGAAAGATTTTTTTTTTTTTTTTTGTAATTTAAGTTGTATTATTATTTTTAAATTAATATAGGTAAAAATAAAAATGGTCTCCAATTACTAATTGTGGCCGGATAAAAGGGGGAGTATTGGTAATACCACTTAGTGCTGGAATTTCTGGCAGCTGGTAATTGCTTTATAAAGCACAAAGGAGTTACCCTCTATCAATTAAAAGTAGCTCAATGTGTTGAATAAGGATATTTCTCCAAGTGTTTACACGATTGGGGAATTGTTTTCTTACAACTGTAATTGTAAACACTGGTTTTGTACCCAGTGTTCATACTTGGCCCATATGGGTGGACGTCTAATCATTGAGAATCAAGCTCCCAACGCAAAGAACCAACATTAATTTTTAAGTAGAAAATAATAACTAAAGAAGCAAAATCTTTAAATACAAAATGGCCTCAGAATTGCAGAATAACTGACATCAAGGCTTTAACATAGCCACTCAGTCCGGAAAGATGGTGTTTTGGTGATTGATATCCTCATAGGCCACACTTTTCAAAAAAGAAAAAGTCAAAACGTTAAAATAGAAAATGTCTGTCTCATGGCCAGTCCCAAATGGTAAAGGCAGCGACGCTGCTCCACAAGGCGATGGAATATGAGACAGCCCCTCAACGGAGGAGCTCCGGTGAAGGAGGACCGTCAACGTCTCCGAGCATTGATTTGAGACGGTTGCTTAGGGATCTACAAACATAACTTGTTTGCCCCAGTAAAGCAAGGAACTTCCTTTCAGAAATCCCTCGTCTCAACCCACCCAAAAACCAGAAAAACCAGAAAAAGAGACAGACAATTCATGTTGAATCAGAGATCTGAGCACACAAATACTCCTCCGTCTTCTTATAATCAAGAAACACGGAATTTAAGTGCGAGCTAAAACCCTAACATAAACCCTCGCCCACTCGGCAGTGAATTGGGAAACATGAATTGGGGGCATAGTGATATTTATAAGACTATGGTAATGTATGCACCGTTGGATGCGTATCCAACGGCGACGGATGGCTCAAATCAATCTAGGGTTTTTTCACTTCGCGAAATAACTTGGTCCTTTAGGATCAAATTTCTGATTTCCATTTTAAGGGCCCAATACTAACTGAACTATAAAAAGCCCATGGACCAAAGTTTGCATTCATTCATTTCAGGATCAAAATTGCAGTATACTGAGTAAAGAGAATGAATATGCAGAATAAAGTGTAACCAATGCTGTGCCCTCCAAACAAAATCATCATTGCTTCTATAAAGCAGCATAACTACATTTGAATTCAACCGTCCTTAGTTTTGAATTTGAGATAGAAAACAAAACAATGTTTCGTCCAATATGGAATAGACCATTGTTACAGCTGCAGAAAATGAAACAAGTGAACCTCTTCATGAACAAATTGTGTGAACAAAACAACAGATATCAACATTGGACGACTCCTAAATTCAAACATTTTTGAACACTCCTTCCATGGCCTTTCATCATAACATTGTGATGTTGCAGAAATTTGGCTCCAAATTTATCAAAAAGTGGACTTTTTGCGATCTGAAAAACATGACAAGTTAAACAAAGGAAATCAGAATTGCAAATATAAAGCAAAAGAAGCTGTGGCTAATAAAGGATGCTGTAATGTATCACTGTGACTTTTAGTGCCGTTTGAATAACATAGTTGCCATATTGATCCTTGACAACATGCTGAAGCTGGTTGCTATCAATGAAATCCTGAACCACAAGTTCCATCCCTCGAGACATCAAGCATATCTCCACCACATGGCTCCCAGCTTTCCGCATTGAAATCTTCACAAAGTGGCCTTCTCAGCTGAGAGCAAATTTCTTTAGTGAAGGTGGGGATTTCTAGTTCCAGGACATGTTGCACCACAAAGTTCCTACAAGAGTGTTTTTCAAAAATCAACCAACAATGCATGGTGAAACAAAAGGAATGTAAATTAACTAGTGGTGATAACCGATGATCTACCCGAAAGGATCTTGAGAGAGGAAGACAGAACTTTCTGTGATTAGTTGTAGGAGTTGACCTCTTCCAGGACCTCTGCTAGAACTTATGAAGTTCTTCAAGTTTATGCATCCTTTCTCATGAATGGCGAGGTCTAGTGCATTCTTTACAGCTGCTTCATATAGTAACTGCATGCCACCAAATGAGATATGTAACGAGTTTGTAAACATCAACAATGTCACAAGTTTTAGAGCATGAACTATGAAAAAAAGTTATGAAATTACCCCACTCTTACTAGGACTCAGGAGGTCTATGGATTTCTATATAAGATGTGATCCTGTTGGACTTATCATCATCCTAAAGAAGTTGCTAGGGAAAATTTTCATGACATCCTCAGCGAAGTCTGAATCCCCAAGTGCCATTATGAGCTTTCGAATTGCCTTTAGACTGAAAAATATAATCAATGTGATGAATAGTACTTCCAAAGTAGAACTAATGACCAAAATAAAGGGAAACAATATTATACCAGAATCCATTCAATGTTGTATGTCTTAGAACTTATGAAATTGCTCTTCCTGCAATCTGTTTCAGCTGATAATCTTTGGCACAGAACTGAACCAACATCTCAAATAAAGCATGTCCATGTTGATGAGACATCAGAGGAAATATGAAATCAATAACTCCTTTAAAAATCTCATCTGTAAGAGTTGGATCCTTGAACTATAATGTCAGAAGGTCTTGTGAACAAACTTTTCATCTAGCCTTGTCGATAATTTGAACATGATCAACACATTCCCAGGAAGTTCTAAAGCCATAATTCAATGAATTAGAAACAGGATTTACAAACATTGGTTCTGCAATACCAAATCCATTCATACAATTCATAGAAGGCAGAGGCATAACCTGGTTAGTTGAATTCGGAGAATTCACTGCAAGAACAATTGAGATCGCCACATTAATATACTACATATGAAATTCAGGAATTAACAATACACCATAGTTCAAAAGAAAGAATTTTTTTTTTTAATGCCAGAAAAGGAACACCCTGGAAAGCTTGGAGAAAAATATGAAACTTTGGTTCTTGTATATGATTGGTGAAAAGATTATCCTGCAAGGTTCATATAAATTGTTAAATTTTAAATTGAAATTTATATTCAAAAAATTTAAAAATCAAACTAGATCTATTAAAAATGAACAAAGAAAGTATTACTTTTTTTTTTTTTAAAGATAAACAAATATTTTTTTCCTATTCATTATTCATTTATTTTAATTAATCATCTAATCACAAAAGTCTTTCTCTATCTTTTGTTTCTTTTTTTAAGGATAATATAAATAAATACAAATATTATCTTCAAATTCTTAATTTAAAAAAAAAAAGTTAAAAAATGATAATTATTTTAGAAAAAAAAGTGAGTAAAGACTCTTCATACCATCAAACTAAGTGACATATGAATTTAAATTTTAATATAATTGGTATATAATTGGTATTTAATATAAAGATTCTCAAGATAGCAACAGCCAAGGTTGAAGCATATTCTGAGAGAAAATTCTTTTTTTTTTTTTTATCGAGAACATGACTTCTTTTTGGTTGAATCGTCGTCTCTACGGTGCTGAGTCGGCATCCGGAGTGCAATCTTAAGGCTATGGAACAAGCTAAAGGTATTGAGTTGATTTTCTTCTCTTTTTACAATGACCTAGGGTTTCTTTTTTTTTCCTTTTTTCTTAGTCGAAATTTGCATGCAATAAGGAATTGGAGAAATATGTTGGTGGAATCAGACTGATCGGAGGTGATAGAGGGAATCAAACAATTCTGTGGTTTGATGAAGTATGGAAGAAATTGATTAATTTCATTAGTTCATTGCATGTTGAGAAAGTTTTATTGATTTTTTTTATTGAATGAAGTGATCGATTCTATTTTGGATCTAAAGTTCTTATGAAAGATGGAATCTATGATTTAATAGATCTTAAAACACTATAATCTTAAAGGATTTAATGCTTGATCACTCAATCATATTATGAATGGTTTCTTTTTTTTTTTTCTTTAATGAAATTAGTGCCTAATTTTTAGAATTTTCTCGGAATTATAAGTTTTGTATTTGCATTTTTTTTTAGCTAGACAGGTTTTTCTTACTATGTTGAATGCATGCATTTAACTATTTGCTTCTTTTATGAAATGCAGTTTTCAAAAAGTTTATAAATGAAGTTATTCAAAACTCCTTTTATTCTAAAAAACAAAAAAAAAAGGGGAAATTATTCATAATCCCAACACAAATTCCACTTAAAATGTTGTACGCATGCTGCATTTTCTCACCTTCTGTATTATCGTGAATTATGGTATTCTTCCAGAAGTTTTCTTCCTCTTCTGTTGATCTCTATCTATGTAATTCTCCTTTACTTTATTGACTCAAATTGTCACTCTAATCTTAAAAGATTTATTGACCTGAGCAACATAGGGTGGGTATTAGGGCCTGTTTGGTACAGCGGTTAAAATTCAGTGGGTAACGGATAGCGGATAGTCATAGCAAGTAGCGGGTGGCGGTTAGCGGATTGGATAAATATAACTGTTTAGTTATACAATAATTAACGGTTGTTGTTTAACAT